GTCCCTCAACTCAGATGGGATTAGCATCTGGAGCCCAGTAGGATCCCTCATCTGGGGCTCTAATCCCAGACCTCTCTAATTCCAGGGTCAATGTTTAAGGATTAAAGGGCCTTGGAACAGAAGAGTGAGTGTGTACACGTGGAGGGGGCATGGCATCTTCCCTGATCAGAGCATCTTGGGCATATTGCCCATGTTGCCAGCTCTGTTCCCCTGAAATGATGATCCCCCTCCTCCTGTACAATGTCACCCCGATTTCCATGCTGCTGCTGGCTTCTTTCACCATGGCGTGCCCGGCCAGAAGCTGCTCCCCTTCAGCTACCCACCTCTGATGGGAGTATAGAAGTAAAAGTGGCAATACTGGGACACACCTACAATAGCCAGGTTTCATAGGGGAGACCATATTTCACTGTTAGGAGTTTTTCACAGCCATGAATTTGATACGGCCCTACATATAGTTGATGGAAATTCATTGGAAAGACTGGGACTACCATACACCAATAAATATTCTAGCACACATTAAATATCTAATATATATTGCTGAAATTGCATGCCTTCTTCTGAAAGTTCTCCCTATGCAGCCTCCTTATTTTTATGATTTTTCTCTAGAAAATTAAATGCACCGTATTCCACAACCCATATTTTAAAATCAAAGGACAATAGTATATTAAAAAGAATACCTGAATCACTTGCTGACCCATGGTCATTCATCACAGTTGGGAGTCCTGGGACAGGCTGAGTGGTAAGGTACCAAACAGCATGTAGAACATCAGTCGCGTGAATTCTGTTGTGATCTAGGATACAAATTAAGGCAATCAATGACAGCATTATTAAACATGCAGATTTTTTCCTATCCAAGGGCACATAGCACCATCTACTGGATACCATGGTGAACCTCTTGGAAGTTTCAATTCAAGGAACAGTAAAAAACCAGCATACATTACAAGGCATGAGACCACCACTTATTTTACAATGCTGTAAGTGTTCAGCTTTCCTTTTACCAGTAAGTTGCTTTTATACACTAGGAACGACAAGGAGAAGCTATGGAGGAGCACCACTTTCTCAAGAGACAGAGAAAAGAGGGAGCTTTTGGAACAAGAGCCATGCTCCCTTCCACTTTCACTACACCTTTTGTTATGCAAGCATCATCCACCTGGTTAATACATGGGGTGAATCCTGGCTCTTCTAAAAATTGATGGAAAGACTCCCATTCATGTCACTAATGCCATGATTTCTCCTAGCTTCTAACAATAAGGCCTGTCTTCATTGCAATAATTAGCCTGAGTTATTCCACTAGCCTAGCTTGAGTGAGAGCAGCCACATCATGAAACAACAGTCAGGCTATACTGTGATTGGATTAGCATGTGATCAGCTGTGCTAACTCAAGCTGTTGCCTGTAGCTGCATCCCTGCTTAACACTGGCTTCAATCCACACACCCCAGATGGGCCAGCCAACTCAAGTTTAAAGCAGAGTACCACTGAACTTGAGCTAAAGGTGCACGCATGGAGATGGGAGTCAGAGTAGGGACAACACTAGAGTTACACCTTGAGCTAATACCACAAGCACACGGGTCCCTATATAGATTTTACTGATCTCTGGTATCGATCTTTAACTATGCAGCAAGTGGGAAAAGGGCCCTTCAACTCCAGAGGAACTTAAATGTGGTATTTCTTTAGCAAAGGTAATAAGATTCTGGGACAGAGCTCTAGGAACCAGGAAACTATTAGATTACGTATTTCTATACAGATTCACTCAGTAAATGTATCCCAATAACATCCAACATGTTCTATATACAGTAATATGTATCTCTACAGGAGGGATGTGAATGGTTAACGGGCAGGAGCTGAAGCAGCATCCCACCCACTGCAGGCAGAGAGCTGCTCCAGCTCTGAGGGACCCACGAGCTGGCTGACAGTGGTGGGCCCCGCCTTGTCCCCCCGTACAGTAGGCAGGGGCTGCTCCAACCACTCTGGGGGGGGCGTTGGGGGGGGGGGGAGAGAAGAGTCATTCCAACATGATGATGTTTAAGCAGTTAATCAATTAAACTGGATTTTACATCCCTACTCTGCAGTAAATCAGATTAGGGATGTTAATATGAGCTTACTTTACTAATCGAGTAGTTGCTAGAATTTTTATCAACTACTCAATTAGTTAAAAGGGGAAGGCAGACAGCTCAGTCCCTGCTTGTACTGGGTCTGGGACCAAACCCTGCTGTGACTCTGCAATTTAAAAGGCAGTAGGAGTGTGGTCCCAGACCCAGTGTGAGCAGGGACTGAGCCAGGCTGCCTGGCTCCTACTGCCTTTTAAATTCCAGAGGCGCAGCAGGGTTAGGTCCCACCGTGAGGCGGTGCTGAGTGGGGCTGCCTTCCCCTATCAAGTAATCAAGTAGTTGATCAAAATTCTATTGACTATTCGATTACTAAAATAACCTCAATTTAACATCCCTAGTTCAGGATTGCAAAGTCCAGCTTCTGGATATATCCAGGAGGGATTGTGTTTTGCAAGACACATTTCATTTTCTTGACTTCCCTCTCCAGGTTAGACTCTCCCTTGCAATGGGGCAGCTAGTGACCCTCTTTGTTCTCATCCAGGACAGTGGGCCACAGTGTAATGGTTTTCAAAGTTGGATCACTGGCATGCCCAGGTATGCCGCTTTGTTTATCTATGAGATAAAAAAGCCAGTGGGAACTGTGAGGTTTTGTGGCTATGGACACTTAGATAAACAAAATGTTGTAGGCCTGCTAGCTGCTTACTCAGGCGAGTCTGTAACCCAACTTTGAAAACCACTGCTGTAGTGTATGTGGAAAGGTCAGGGCTATGAATCAGCCTCTTTTTCCCTGCTTTTCAACCCATTTAACATGTTTTACATTCCTGAGGTGTTCAAAGGAGCCAGTCTCTGGGCTCTTTTAGGCAGGAGGCTTCTAATTTGTCCCTAAACTGGTACAAGGGGGAGACTCGTCCATGATGCCCACATCTGTCAATACACGTAGATAAAAATGAATTGTGTGACTGGCTACTGGTGAGTAGAAAATTCTGTATGCAAAAAGAAAGGTTAAACAAATACCAATGATAGATGCAATAATAATAGTAATAAGGCTCCTTTTATAAGCCCAAAAAGGAATGGGAACATCTGTCTCAGTCGATTAACTTCCCTTTTCTAGCCTATTGCTCATAGGGCTTGATCTTCCTGCCCCAGTGAAGTTAACGGGAGTGTTGGCATTAACTTAAATGAGTCAGATCAACCCCATCATGACTTTGGTTTGAGCCTATGTATGGAATGCTATTCTTCCTTTCACTTGAGGGCAAGCCTGGTAATTCTGTTTCTCCTCTTATTATAATTTGATAATTTTTAAAATTATGATAGTTGCTTATTTCTGTGTAAAACCTTCTGAAGTGATTCTCTTTCAGTGCTTTATATAGATACCCTGTTGATCAGCAAGTACAAGAGCAGCCCAGCCTAGTGACACAGGTTTTCTGGTTACGAAGGTGTTCAAACAGGGTCTTTAGAATGGGTCATATAATAAATTTGTTTCTTTTCTTTCCAAGGGGGCTTCACTGTTATAGATAGCCAAAGTTAACTTCAGGATGCTCAAACGGAAACAAAGCTCACGTGTGGAAGCCCAGCCATGTTAACCGTTAACAACAAATACATATGGGCATGTATTTGCTCTTTAACCCACAGCCATCTAGCATAGAACAACTGGGATGTCTGCTGAAAGCTATTCCAGATCACAGGTTGGAAATCAGTATCCTACAGCATCTCTCATGTGGAAGCATATCACAGTGTGCCTATCTCTAACTTAGCTCTTCTGCAGGAATGGGCAATTATTCCAACAAAGGCAGACAAGGCTGATAGTGACACCAACCAATAACAAACATGGTGAGATAAAAGTCCCAGATACCTATACACTCTCAAAACCAGAGCCAGAAGATAATTAAAGAAAACACCCCAAATCCTAAATGCCAAATAGAGAGAAATGTGAGGACAGAGTTACGCTTGACAAAATTCTGACTGAGCTATGCATATTTTTAGCTTTTTGCACAGGAAAAAAAAGCTTCTGTCAGAAAGTTACTAAAGTTCTGCATTTTACCCACTGGAGGGCAGTATGGTGCTAGAACAGAGCACTGGCTCCCAGTCAGCTAGGGAAGCAAAAGAGATAGTACTTTGAAGCCCGCTCTCGTGATCTGAGGGGAGACACATATAGCATGGACTGCTGTGCTGTGCTGTGCTGGGCTGGGCTGGGCTGGGCTGGGCTGGGCTGGGCGGGGGGGGGACAGGGAGGTCAGACAGGGGCTCAAAGGCTAGTGAGGGAGGACAGACTGGAGAAGGGGCTGAATGGGAGTGGAGGTGGAGAGCCACATAGGGGGGCGGGGAGGGGGGTGGTTTGGTAAGGAATCTGTCAAAAAAAAAAAAACACCTAACATTTCCTGAATCTTTTTTTTTTTTTTGTCTGCGTTGTTACAAACATACTTGCTGCCAGGTATTTTGAAATGAGTGACCAAAAATAATTAAAACTGTTGTGATTATATTGTGTTTTTTTGACAAATAAAATATGAACAACTTTACAGAATCAGAAAATATTGTGAACAGAAATTTTAATTCTTGGGTGCAGCATTCCTTTAGGAGTACAGAGAGTTCAGAAACAGTCTTCACAGAGGACAATTGATTTAGGAGTGACACATGTATTGACAAAATTGGAAGATACTCACAAAGCTTTACATACATCAGATCCTGAACACCAAAAGGGAAATACTGTTCTTACGCATTTAAGACAAAATGTAGCCCTTGCAAAAAAAATAGCTGTAGTGACTGGGGAGAGGAAAGAATGTATACAAATATTTGTTGAACATGTTAAAAAGTCAATGACATCTGAGCAATAGACTCTTATTTGATCTGCAGTTTTACTTACAAGGTATCTCCCGATATCCACACTCCAAGGCATGAAAATAATTCATGAACTCCATCTTTGGAATTTTAAAGGCTTCAAATAGCCCCATGTCTTCAAAAAGCCTGTATGATACCTGGAAAAGGAAAACAACCATGATGCTAAGTAGACCAAAAAAGCTGATCCTATTAAGTCACTTGGTATATCCCTACTCAATACAAGATTGTTCCCTGTGGCATTTTTTTCCACATGTATCATCTGGCTTAGTTCATGTCGGGGAGCTGAGGCACACCCAGCTAAATAGGCTGTTTAGAAAGTGTTCTTGTTATTCACCCAAATGTTCCTCTTCTTTGTACTCTCTTTGGCTGTGTCCAGACTCAAGGGTTTTTTCGGAAAAAGTAGCCTTTTTTCGAAAAAACTTCTCCTGCGTCTAGACTACAGCCGCGTTCTTTCGAAATTAAATCGAAAGAACGCGGCTTTTCTTTCGACGGCGGAAAACCTCATTTCACGAGGAAGAACGCCTTTTTTCGAAAGTGCTCTTTCGAAAAAAGGCGTTCTTGAATGCAAACAGGGCTTTTTCGAAAGAGAGCATCCAGACTGCCTGGGTGCTTTCTTTCGAAAAAGTGGCTTGCTTTTTCGAAAGAACTGCTTGCAGTCTAGATGCTCTTTTTCGAAAGAGGCTTTTTTGAAAGTATCTTTCGAAAAAGCCTCTTTCGAAAGAGGCTTGCAGTCTAGACGTAGCCTTTGATTGTTCTAAGCAATTCTTCTCTGATGGTTACCCCCTTCCAAAACATGTATCTGGTTATACTCCTTGTTCTTGAACTTTAGACAGCCTACACACAAAGTTTTAAGTGCCTCAAAATGTGGTAGCGCCTCAAAAAACCCCCCCAAAAACCCTACACCACCAAGTGAAACTCAAACATGTGGGGGGAGATTTAAAAAGCAGATAGGAATTAGAATCTTTGAAAATCTCCCCCCCACATATCCTGTCCCAAAGAGTACGCATTGACATTTTTTCTGCACTTTGCATAATCATGTAAACAGATGAAGGAGAGGAGGAAAAGAAGAAGCACAAGACTGTCAAATAAAGTGGGCCTAATAAATGATTTTGCTATTTTTCAATCTTGTTGGTAAAATTACAGAAGTGAGTTTTCAGGAGGAATATGACTGAAGTGAAGGAATTTTCAGTAGGGAAGTGACTCAGAGCATGCAAGCATGGAAGAAGGTTACAGAGAATTTTGGAAGAGGCGGTGTTAAGACTGGTAGCAGCGGTGGAGTGAAGAAGCTGATGGGGGAATAGAACAGAAGACAATGTCAGCAATGCAGACAGCAGTTTTATGATATAGGCAGAGCTTGAAAGCATTGACAGTTTCAAATGTATACATAATGTAATGGGACCTAGTGAAATGCCTATATTATGTTATTCCAAATTTCCCTTTGAAATCAGCCTCTGCAGCATTTTTATTAAATGTTCTTGTCATAAGGTGCCTAGAACCAAACAGGGATGTTAAGGACAAGTCGACTATCTAATAGGCAAATGCTTATCGGATAGTCGACTAGTTGCTCTTCTCTTCACTGCCTCAGTCACATAGAGGGAGCGAAGGAGGGAACAAGGAGGGGTACTTCGAAGCGCCAGCGCTGGAGGGAGTCTGGGTTTGGTGCGGCACTGCTGCTTTGAAATGCCGTGGCATTGCTGCAGGAAGTGCCGCTGGGGCAGTGCTGCAGGAAGCCCAGGATCAACTGTGCAGTGCCACCCTATCAACGAATCAAATAGTCAATGCAAAAATGCATTAACCATTCAATCAGTGAAATACTCGATACTTAACATCTTTAGAACCAAGCACTGCATTCTGTGTGTGTTCCCACTAAAGATGTCAAATCCTGTTTAATCAGTTAACCGGTTAAACGTTACGCAGGATCCCATGGACGGGGCCCGGACTAGAGTGGTCCCTGCCTCACTCACAGGCAGAGCTGGCAGCCCTGTGGAGCACACTACCAGCTGTGCAGGGCTCCAGGCACTTGGCGGCTGCTGGTTCACTAGTCATCAGTAAGGGTATGTCTATACTACAGCACTAATTCGAACTAACTTAATTCAAATTAGTTAATTCGAACTAAGCTAATTCGAACTAGTGCATCTAGACCTAAAAACTAGTTTGAATTAGCATTTTGCTAATTCGAACTAGCATGTCCACATTGAGTGGACCCTGAACCGAGGTTAAGGCTGGCCGGAAGCAGTGCCGGCAGGGCATCAGATTAGGACTTAGAGCGTGGAGCTGCTGTCTCAGGCTAGCCGAGGGCTGTGCTTAAAGGGACCCAACCCCCAGCCCGGACAGACAGTTCTCAGGGGAGGACTTGCTTGTCTACCTCGATGAGGGACAGCAAAGCAGTCCTGGCTTGGAGTGCCCTGAATGCCCACAGTCGGCACATCACAGCACTCGGCCATCAGCCTGGCTGCACTTGCCGCAGGCTGCTACCTTTAGGAGTACAGAGAGTTCAGAAACAGTCTTCACAGAGGACAATTGATTTAGGAGTGACACATGTATTGACAAAATTGGAAGATACTCACAAAGCTTTACATACATCAGATCCTGAACACCAAAAGGGAAATACTGTTCTTACGCATTTAAGACAAAATGTAGCCCTTGCAAAAAAAATAGCTGTAGTGACTGGGGAGAGGAAAGAATGTATACAAATATTTGTTGAACATGTTAAAAAGTCAATGACATCTGAGCAATAGACTCTTATTTGATCTGCAGTTTTACTTACAAGGTATCTCCCGATATCCACACTCCAAGGCATGAAAATAATTCATGAACTCCATCTTTGGAATTTTAAAGGCTTCAAATAGCCCCATGTCTTCAAAAAGCCTGTATGATACCTGGAAAAGGAAAACAACCATGATGCTAAGTAGACCAAAAAAGCTGATCCTATTAAGTCACTTGGTATATCCCTACTCAATACAAGATTGTTCCCTGTGGCATTTTTTTCCACATGTATCATCTGGCTTAGTTCATGTCGGGGAGCTGAGGCACACCCAGCTAAATAGGCTGTTTAGAAAGTGTTCTTGTTATTCACCCAAATGTTCCTCTTCTTTGTACTCTCTTTGGCTGTGTCCAGACTCAAGGGTTTTTTCGGAAAAAGTAGCCTTTTTTCGAAAAAACTTCTCCTGCGTCTAGACTACAGCCGCGTTCTTTCGAAATTAAATCGAAAGAACGCGGCTTTTCTTTCGACGGCGGAAAACCTCATTTCACGAGGAAGAACGCCTTTTTTCGAAAGTGCTCTTTCGAAAAAAGGCGTTCTTGAATGCAAACAGGGCTTTTTCGAAAGAGAGCATCCAGACTGCCTGGGTGCTTTCTTTCGAAAAAGTGGCTTGCTTTTTCGAAAGAACTGCTTGCAGTCTAGATGCTCTTTTTCGAAAGAGGCTTTTTTGAAAGTATCTTTCGAAAAAGCCTCTTTCGAAAGAGGCTTGCAGTCTAGACGTAGCCTTTGATTGTTCTAAGCAATTCTTCTCTGATGGTTACCCCCTTCCAAAACATGTATCTGGTTATACTCCTTGTTCTTGAACTTTAGACAGCCTACACACAAAGTTTTAAGTGCCTCAAAATGTGGTAGCGCCTCAAAAAACCCCCCCAAAAACCCTACACCACCAAGTGAAACTCAAACATGTGGGGGGAGATTTAAAAAGCAGATAGGAATTAGAATCTTTGAAAATCTCCCCCCCACATATCCTGTCCCAAAGAGTACGCATTGACATTTTTTCTGCACTTTGCATAATCATGTAAACAGATGAAGGAGAGGAGGAAAAGAAGAAGCACAAGACTGTCAAATAAAGTGGGCCTAATAAATGATTTTGCTATTTTTCAATCTTGTTGGTAAAATTACAGAAGTGAGTTTTCAGGAGGAATATGACTGAAGTGAAGGAATTTTCAGTAGGGAAGTGACTCAGAGCATGCAAGCATGGAAGAAGGTTACAGAGAATTTTGGAAGAGGCGGTGTTAAGACTGGTAGCAGCGGTGGAGTGAAGAAGCTGATGGGGGAATAGAACAGAAGACAATGTCAGCAATGCAGACAGCAGTTTTATGATATAGGCAGAGCTTGAAAGCATTGACAGTTTCAAATGTATACATAATGTAATGGGACCTAGTGAAATGCCTATATTATGTTATTCCAAATTTCCCTTTGAAATCAGCCTCTGCAGCATTTTTATTAAATGTTCTTGTCATAAGGTGCCTAGAACCAAACAGGGATGTTAAGGACAAGTCGACTATCTAATAGGCAAATGCTTATCGGATAGTCGACTAGTTGCTCTTCTCTTCACTGCCTCAGTCACATAGAGGGAGCGAAGGAGGGAACAAGGAGGGGTACTTCGAAGCGCCAGCGCTGGAGGGAGTCTGGGTTTGGTGCGGCACTGCTGCTTTGAAATGCCGTGGCATTGCTGCAGGAAGTGCCGCTGGGGCAGTGCTGCAGGAAGCCCAGGATCAACTGTGCAGTGCCACCCTATCAACGAATCAAATAGTCAATGCAAAAATGCATTAACCATTCAATCAGTGAAATACTCGATACTTAACATCTTTAGAATGTGTCCAGAGTGACCACCAGGGCAAGCTGGGGAGGGCTAGCTTCCCACTAGTTCGAATTAAGTGGCTACACAGCCCTTAATTTGAACTACTTAATTCGAACTAGGCGTTAGTCCTCGTAGAATGAGGTTTACCTAGTTCGAATTAAGCGCTCCGCTAGTTCGAATTAAGTTCGAACTAGCGGTTTGCCTGTGTAGCGCCTATGAAAGTTAATTCGAACTAACGGCTGTTAGTTCGAATTAACTTTGCAGTGTAGACATACCCTAAGAGTGATGTTTAAGGTGTAACTGGTTACCTGTTCACATCCCCAATTCTCACCAGAGTTGTATCAAGGTGGAACCACTGTCTGCCAATTCTACCATATATTACAATTTGCACATGCAGTACCAAACATTGTACTGGCCTTTGTTTTGACAACATTCCTGAACCTAAATTAAGCTGCTGTCTCAATCAACTGCTGCTCCTTTCAGCGCATCACATGTTTTAACTGGGATCCACAATCTACACTGATGGGGGTGTTATATCCAACCTTTAAACTAACACTCTGAATATCTGGCCTTGGTAGATACATTAAAATAACTGATATAATAATTAACGGATATGAATTTATAATCTGAGCGATCTTCCAGGTTTTTTTTTACTAGGAATTTTCTATCAAGCAGAATTTTGGTGTGATTAATGCTGAACAATTCTAACAAAAATGAGAAAGGACGGGTGAAGGAGAGAGAGCACAAATGTAGTTTCTGACTCTGCCCAAAGGATCTCTCTCTGTTATCAAGTGTCTGACCATTGTGCTTCTGTTAGTAGAACCTGCGCACTGATCAGCTGCTACTTGGCACAGGGTACCAATGGCACTTGTTTGGTACTAATGCCCAGGAACATGATAGCAATATTGGAAAGTGTTGGCATGGTGAGCCATAAGCACCAAAGTTACCATCAACAGGAGCTGCTTGCTGTAGTGCTATAAAGGACACATCTGAGCAGCTTGAAATAGCGCTATTACAGTGCATGGACTATCCCTCTTTAGAATTCAGTGTCCAACCAAGATGAAAATATATAGCAGAACCATCAAAAAAGGGATACAACTCTTTCTTCAGTCACAGAAAATTAGAAAACCTGAGGGCACCAAATATGGAAAAATGCTTCTAGAAAGACTCTTAGCTATCTCTTTAGCTGTAACTTCAGTGGCTACAGGAGATTTGCAATGGAAAATCCCTATGCATCTTAGTTCTGGAGGCTAACCATAGGCATTAGAGTATGGGTAACATGACGGGCTCAGGGCAGGAGTTAGTGCAAGAGTTCCAGGCATCTGTCAGAATTAGGCATATCTTCTCTGAGCACAAAACACACTTCTTAAAATCTCTGATTTGCCATTGGGGACAGAAAGAGAAAGGAAAAAAAATTATTATTTTTTTCTGAACTGAGGAAGGAATGAACCCCTCGTCCTCTAACCTGACTATATAAGAAAGTTACACTGAAGAGCTACTATTTGTGATAGGTCATCAACTTATCAACCCCCCCTCTTTACCTATACTGCTTTCTCTCATCTTTCTGTATGTTATATTGTTCTGTAGTTCCACACCCCAATCAATCACCCCCTAGTTTTCATTTACCTACCCCATAGCTAATGCCTCCTTAACTTTATTTCCATCAATGTCTTACTCCTGTGTGGTACAGCCAAAATAAATAGAACGGAAATGGAAAGAGAGGATAATATGTTGTGTGTATTTGCTGGGTAAAGTTTTCAACAGCAGTTAAGTGATTTAGGAACCTGACCCCATTTTAAAAATTGACCTAGGCAGTTAAGAGTGACCTTCGGCCCAATGACATGCACTTTTGATAAGGCTCTTCTGAAAACTTTAGCCTGTGCATTTAATCCTTAAATAAACCAAAGTATTTTACCAAAAACTGTCAAAACCCCGTGAGGGTTATGTACCCAGAGAAGGCCCAGAGCATCTTAAATATAGGAAGCTGCACCAGAGTCAGCAGCACATGAAAACTGACTGGAGGTTTCTTCAAGACAGGCACCAATAGCTCTCTAAAAAGAGAAGGATTATAGCCAGAACCATAGTCAGTGGGTCTGTGCATTGCATAAATCAGCTAGGACAAACCTTATAAAGGGGGAACCAACAGGCTGTATTCTACCTAAGCCCTGTGGTTTGCTGAGGTGTTGCAGCCATGTTTGTCCCAAGATATCACAGGGACAATGTGGACAAACGAATATCATTTATTGGACCAACTTCTGTTGGAGGTAGAGATAAGCTTTCAAGCCAGACACTGCTCTTCTGTAGGTCTTGGAATTGGTCCCTTGTATGTGCTCACTACTTACTGTAAACTATCTGTTCAATCTTGAATTTACCTGTAACTCTTAGTATCTTTCCCAAGCCTGATGAGGACCTCAGGGTAGCTCTGAAGCTTGTTTCTCTCACCAACAGAAGTTCAATAAAAAAGGTATCATCTCACTTAGCTAGTCTCTCTATGCCCTATAGTAGCAGTGAGAACTCACTTGTGAAGGCAGCCTTTTCAGCAAGGGCCTACGATTTCTAAACACATTAAACAACTGTGGCCATATTTCTCTATGCTGAATATGGGACACCTGGTAAAATTACTCATATTCAAGTACATTCAGTGGCAATCACAGTGCTATTCAGTACAAATGATCAAATCATAAAGTTGACAGAGTCCCTGTGAAAAAGAAATACTAGGTAGTTGGATTCTTTCTATTGATTTATCTTCCTATTTTTAAGGTTCTAAGGTTTCACATGGGGAGGGGTGATGCATACCCCTATCCTCCCCCACGCCACTCATAGAGAGACGTGACACACACTCCTGTACACACCTCTCATGGGGGGGGGGGGGTGACTGACTCACCTGACACTCACTACCCAGCTCTTGGCACGCCATGCTTGGCTGGGCTCCCAGGAAGGACCTGTTTCACCTGGCACTTGGTGCTATCTCTTCCTGAGGCTACACATGGGAGCACACTCAGGGTCACGTGCTCCTCCCTAAGATTTCTGTCAGGGAGCACATCAGAGGGTGGCCAGCAGCAGCCTTTTTGCACTGTGTGGGAGGGAAGGGATGAGAGCTGCTTCCAGCTATGGGGAAGGGGGTGATAATTTGGCTCATGTCTTTGAAGAGTTCATGCCATCCTGACCACACAGGGTGAAAGGCAGCTCACGCCTCCTGGCTATTGCTAGCAACAGACCTAACTCAGCTGCCTCCTGTCCCCCTGCAACAGTGTGGGCAGGAAGGGGTTAAGCCCTAAGGATGCACTGTGCACCAGGGCCCTGGGAACCTGACT